ATTTCAAAATTTCAAAATAACATATATAATAAATACATATTTATATACCTATGAGTTTTTCTATAATAAATGTTCGAATACTTTAGTGAATCACTGTACATGTTATTAAACTACTGAGAGATGAACAAATGCTTCTAAATGCTTCCAAATAGTCAATTATAATTTTATTCAAAAGTTTTGTAGTTAGATTTTCTCAAAGACGATGTGGAAAAATTTTATTCTTTCTTTTTGTTTTATTTTTATATGTAGTTACCCCCTGCTAGATTGTGCTACAATAATTCCAAAGACAACTTGTAGAAAAACGGACACGGACGTGCTTACAGCAATCCGTCCGGTGCTCGTGCAAATAATAGTTTACACACACGCAGTTGGGTATATTTCGTGCATGTTACATGTATATACGTAGATTTTTATATATATACAAACACGACTGTCACACTTTTGACAATGAATGTTTTTGATTGTTACTACATGTGCATTGCTCTCTACTTCGGCATGAGAAAAATTCACTCGTGACACCTAGCTTCAACTATTTTTTTTTTCTTTTTTGGTAACATGCTATAATATAAAGATACAAATGTAATATAAAAATACAATTAACTGTTTTCTCTTGTCTAACATAAATATATAATGTATTTTTATATATAATACATATACAATATAATATAATAATGTTATGTATAAAAAATATGTATTTTTATATATAGTATAAAAATACAAATATAATATAAAAATAAAATTAACTGTTTTCTCTTGTCTAACATAAATAAATAATGTATTTTTATATATAATACAATACAAATATAATATAATATAACATAATATAAAATACATATTTATAAAAATACAATTAACTGTTTTCTCTTGTCTAACATTCTGAGAGAAACAATATACACAAAATCATTAAATACGACACGAACTTGCCCGACAATCCATTCTAAAAGAAGCAATACACACGAAACCGCTGAATATAATGATTCTGGAGCAGTCGAGAAAATGATGCACTTTTACGTCAGTGGTGAACTGAATTTAAAATGACGTGCTTTTACATTAGCGATGACGAAAGTGTTAAGTTTGGAAAAATGAGGGTTGAAATTACCATTAACGGGGGTTAATAACTCAAGCGTTCGAAATTTTCATACTCGCGGAAACAGTAGTTTCATACCCGGAAACAGTAAATATTCATACTCACGGTATAGCTTCAACAGTGTTCCCGGATATTTTATCAATTGCGTCGTCGGGGTGGGGCCAACCGCGAAGTCGTACTCATACGTACGAATGTTGTTGCATGAAAACCGATTAACGTATAGTAGAGCAGCGAAGCCGGTTTCAGTTTGAAAGCTGCGCTCTCGTTTACAGTCGCTTTGCCAAGTGAATCGTCGATGCATCGGCGTGTTCGTGTTTTCTGCATAGGAACCCTCGAAGCCGTTCGCGAATAAACACTTCAGGCGAGCACGGAATTACGGCGCCGCACCATTCGTGCATCCCGCTGGCCAACAGTTCGAGAACGCTCGACTTATTGTCACTTTTCGCGGCGAACGACCACGATGCAATTAAACTTGTGATAATGAAGCCACGCCAACGGCGAAAGTAGACGTTTGATCTTTGTTTGAAAATGCGCGCGCCACCGCTGTCGTCGTCGCTGCTTCTCAGCGTAGGCTCTGTGATTTTTGTCTTTTTGTCTTGTTGCGTATAGTCACATTGAATTGCGAATGAAAGAAATGGAAGACGAATGATAATTAAAAAGAGCAACGAATAGGCTATATAATATATTATATATAATAATAATTATAATAATGTATAATATTAATAATAAGTGTAATATATATATAACATAATATCTCATATCAATAGGTAATTGTTTATTGAGGTAATGTAAAAAAGTTACAATTTTATATTTTGTCTCATCCATCGTTATGTATACATACACATCTGTATGGAGTCTTTTGAATTTTTAGATAATTGAAATGGCAAATCATTGACCATGGTATTCACAGCTTTGATTTTATTAAAAATTATTAAAATCCATTTGACCAAAATTAGCTTTCATTCGATTTCGACTCGAAACTTATAAATACTGTTTTATATTGTTATGTCCATGTTTAAAAACATACCTAGTCTAAAATTGAAAAATTGTCGGAAAGATTTCAAATTTTATTTAAATATAAGTAATAATTAAATAATGGAAGTGTAGGTGCATAATCTAATTTGCTCGAACACGTACGTTAAAAGTTTCGATTTCGCTTGGTAAATTTATAAATTTTGATCCAAATCTTAGGGACACATTTAAAGAAGCTTAAAAAGCAAGGAACTTTAATCGATAAGATTGGAATATTATTTATCATGATAGAGAAATTTATTCACTTGCACTTTCAATTCGTGTTTTTCGATCAATGTTTTTGTGTTTCCGAATTGTTTTACAATGTATCTATACATACGTCAGGTATCAATATGTATCCACATAACCATATTGGATCACTATGTTCGTGCAAACTAAATTTGATCGCTTCTGTAATCGATGGTTAAACGTGTAAATAAATTAACAACCAACGATGCACGATAATCGGCAATAACCGTCGTTGCTTCATTTCTGCACAATTATTCTGTATATCGCGCAAGAACACCGACGTTACGTTTTGTAATTAGGCAAGAAAGAAACGAGATATCTTTTATACTGTATCTCAAAGTACGAGAACTAGACTATTATTACGTGAGAGAAAGGAACAAATGAAATATATTAATTTCTCTGAAAAGCGAAGAACGGCGCTTACTTTCTTTAAAATGGGAAGCAAAACGAGAAACTGAATAAATTTCATCGAAAAAGGGGAAAAGGCTATTCATCATCTTTTGCGTTACATTTTAAACGTAATTGAATACATAAAACATACATACAGCCATGAAAATGTTTGAATACAAAATTTCCGGTGTTCGAAAAATTGTCGAATAATTTCGTAAAAAGAAATCGCACAAGAATCAATATGGGGTTGATTTTAAAGCTCGAAGCCTTTATTTTCAAAATATATATGGTTCATTTTATTCCAAGATGTTGCAATACGTAGCTGATAGGAAAACTTTTTTTCTCAAAAATGCCACAAATTGTCGTGATCTTTTTTCTCGTTAATTTATTGAACTTTGAACATTAGGCGAAAATGAATGCGATTTTTCGAATTTTTTTACGTAGGTTCAATAAAATGACGAGAATAATCACACGTCAAGGAGGTCGTTGTTTATTTGAAATATTATTTATTCCTTTTGATGATTTTACAAAAATAATAATTTTGAAAACATGTAATGATTTAGATAATAAAATAATTTTATTAATGTAGCAGAATAATTCAAGTTCAAAGTTTTCAAATTTTTAAAAATTCTAAGAACAATTATATTTTAACCTGAATAAAAAACAAAATAATTATGATACAAATGAAAACGTAATTAAATTTAAATTTATGTGTGTATTTCATCTTTGACAAATGAATCGAACAGATAAAATATGAAAATAAAATTATTAATTCCTCTAATAGATAATCTTCCAATTAAAATAATTAATGTTATATATAAACATGATAAAGAAAACTTTCACTTTCCAACTCCGATGCACATTGTATAAATATCTTAGAACAAAATAAATGATACATTGAAAATAAGCTCAAACTTGATCGTTGCACGATTTCTTCTTACGAAATCATAACAATTTCTATATCGATAATTTTCCAAACGTTAAGAATTTATTGTTCGAACGTTTTCACGAGTGACTGTATATGTTCAAAGAAAAGAGGAGCAAAAGAAAAAAGTAGTCCAAAGTTTGCAATTTCCTGAAATCCTATAAACCAGACGGAATGTCAAAACGTAAACAAGTTGGAGTACATAAGTAGGACAAACAAACAGCCAGTAGTCAGTGTAGAGTCAGCAGTCAACAGTTAAACATCACTTGGCCGGATGTGCGCAGAAGGGTGGAGGATACTATCTCCCTCTCTAAATATTGTTTGGGGAAATTGCCTGCAGTCAAATATCATTTAGAAGGCCTGAATATTTTATTCGATTTCCCTGTAACAAATACGAAACATCCTCTGTCGGGAATTTGTATCTTTAGTTTGAATACATCGTGCATTATCTTTCACTCAAATTCATCACGTTTCTCGTAAAAAACGAAAATCGTAGTCATTAATACGAGCGTATTTACCGACTTCTTTACTCCTGTATTTATTGCAACGTTATTAATTCACCTGGTCGGGCCATATTTACGCTCTACACGTGTTGCAGGACAATTGTTCAATTGTTGTTATATCGATGGAATGGATGTTGATATTTGTCAGTCGTATCGTAGATATTTACCTTATTTTATTTAACGAATATTATTCGATTTTGACATATTACCAGCAACTTCGATAGCGTGATTGTATGTACATATTCGTTTGGCAATGCTGTCGCCAGTCAATCTGATAATTTGTTGTATCAAGTATTATTTTGTAATATTTTCGGAGATTACATTTTAGAAAATTTATTTTTATATATAAATTAAATTTATTTTTAAAAAAAACTAGATATTAATAAATACGAAAAACATTTAATTTCTAAATATATATTTATTTTTTTTATATCAACAAAAATAATAATATATTCATATATATTTAGATCATTTATTTTCGAGATAATTAAATTATTAAAATTAATTAATTAATCCTGATACAAAAGGTACAAATTATATTTATACTTATTATTTTTTAATAATTTCATTTTCATTACTTTAATTATAAATAATTTTATTAATTTTAAATTACTACTGTAATTTTAATTTTATTATAAAATTTTATTTATTTATATTTTAAATTTAATAATCATAATAAATAAATTTATATTTTTAAATAAAATTTGTGTACACGTGTACTTCTCTCATCACGAAATTACAAACTTGTAATTTTACTATAACCAAAAATACTGAATATATTTTCTTAAAATCGACGTCACGTTGCTTACGATTAATTTTCTACGTTGTTTTTCAGATTATGCCAGATAACACGACGCACCAAAGCATCGAACGATCAAGCAGATCTTCGGACATTCATTTACAGGTAAAATATTTAACTCTAAGTTATTAGTGCTTATATTATCGAGTTCGGTTATCGAACAGTAATAAGGTATTATTAATACATGCTTAAGCGAAAATTTTTTTTTTTAAGACGTTTTAAAATGCCTTTTTCTCTTTGACAAAAGAAATCCTTTTGCCGTGATATTTCATCTATTTCGTTATCTTGTAGAGATAATCCAATATTTCACTAGATTATCAAAGTCACAAGTTTTTTGAATATCTACATTTTTATTCGGAAACTACCTAATTTATACAATCGTAAATGAACAAGATTATTTCATTTTAAGATAAATAAATTGATAACCTCAGAAATATTATAATTAATTTTAGCAAATTGCAGAGATATCATTGTTATGGTCAACCGAGCATAACAATCATCAATAAATTTTGAAAGTGTGTGTATCTGTTTAATACGTCATCCGTAGAATAACAATGTATATAAACAACAGTCAGAAATGTAATTAAATATTTTTAAATTCTTCAATCTAATTTTAACCTCTGATCGTACGTGTCACGGACGATTACATGTGGTTAGTGGACGTTGATGAAAATAATGGTTAGATAATATTAATTAATATAGCTAATTAATATAGTAATGAATATGATAAACACCGGTGACTAACGGTATGAAATAAGAGGAGATGACATTCTGACACGAGGAATTAAAATTTAATTGTTAATAAATGAAAATACAATAACGTGTTAGTATAACAGTAATGATCGAAGGTGAGTAAAAAATAGTTGAAAAACTCGAATCTCTGTTCAATAGTTTGATCTGATAGTGATTTAAATATGTGTTTCATATAAATTTTGAGATATAAATTATTCGTTAGTGTTTTCAAGAATAGAAACAGTGATAAATATCAACGAATCGCGCGTCTCATCGGCTTGTTTGAAAGATGTCTTATTTTTTCTTATTATTAGATTGGTAAATATAGGCAAAAGATGGTAAATAATTAGAGAAACGTTTCTTTACTCTAACTTTGAAAATGAAATAACCAAATAAAATTAAATAATTAAATAATTATTTGAAAATGAAATAACCAAATGAAATTAAATAAATAAATAATTATTTAAAAATGAAATAACCAAATAAAATTAAATAATTAAATAATTATTTGAAAATGAAATAACCAAATGAAATTAAATAAATAAATAATTATTTAAAAATGAAATAACCAAATAAAATTAAATAATTAAATAATTATTTGAAAATGAAATAACCAAATGAAATTAAATAAATAAATAATTATTTAAAAATGAAATAACCAAATAAAATTAAATAATTAAATAATTATTTGAAAATGAAATAACCAAATGAAATTAAATAAATAAATAATTATTTAAAAATGAAATAACCAAATAAAATTAAATAATTAAATAATTATTTGAATAATTAAATAATTAAATAATTATTTGAAAATAAAATAACCAAATAAAAAAATAACCGAAATATCAACCATTTCATCGAGATATGCATCAGACGTTCCAAATTTAAGAGCATCAGCGTTATTTTCCACAGATTTTCATTAATTATTCTAGTTACTTGTCTACAATAATCCTCTAATCCAGTTCATCGTATCAGCAGTTAATAGGATTAACCGTATCAATAACTTAACAGGATTAACCTCTGCGTCCATTGTTCGACTAAAAGAGAAAACGAAACCGCTTTCCATTCACGTAAATGTTCTCGCCGGGTTTTTAGGCGAGCCTCAACACCTTTTCCTCGCGTGTCACGCCTTTTCCTTTAAACGCCGGCACCTTTTGAAAGATATTCTCGCCCTTAGATTGCGGGTAAGTCCTTTCGTGCAGCTCGAAAAAAAAAAAGGAAAGAAAAGAAAAGAAAAGAAAAAACGAGATGCAGAGGCCGGCTGGTCTAATCGAATCGTCTTGGTGAAACGAGCGGCGAATCTATGTTTAATCAGCGTCTTTTAGGCGACCTATAGATAACGGCTCGTAATTAGTTATAGACGTTACTTTGAAGCGGCGTCGATTCACCGGGCGATGCACCCCGGTTCAACCTCCGGTGAGGGGTTTAACCCGGTGCTGGCGTTTGCACGTAATCCGATTTTCCGGCTTGTGTACGGGCTGTCTCTCACGAAAAGGCGGCCCGGCCGACCCGAAGACTGCGGTGAGTCTTGCCATCGCTGAAAAAGTATAACACGTCCCGATCTCTCTTCTGACCTCCATTCACTCTTCTTCCTACCTCTTTCTACTCGAAATTCGTCAAAGCACGAGCTGCAACAGCATGTGCAAGGAACGTCGTTGAGGGATCCGAAGTGGCAATGAGTAACTGGGTAATGCGGCTGGAAATATAGAATGTTGAGGGAGTTTAACGGTGAAACTTTGGCAGGTGTGTTTTACGGATAATAATCAAGTACAAAAAATTGTGCAAATAGGGGAGAACCGCCTAATGTGGCAAGTATATTTAACCTCTTGCTAATAGCCTCTAGAATGACGTGCCACGCACGCCGAGAATTTGTCCTCAGTTTCAAGTATATTAAAATATAACCCAGGAAAAATAAATAATAAATTTATTAGTTTTCGATAATTTCTATCCAGTGATCTCATACCGACGAGTTGAAAAAAGAAAGCGACGAATTATTGTATACGGTTTGGTCACTCGTTATGGTCCGCAATCAGTTGCCAGCATAAGTAGAATAATCTATTTTATATTTGTGTTAGATGGTATTGCGATGTATCTTCATTCGTCGTCGTCGTCACATTTTTTATTAAATTAACAATAACATGCAATCTTCCGGAGAAGACACGGAATCTTCAATGTGGCGCAAATAGTGAAAATTTTAATTATAATTCTATTTCTTACTGAAATTTTATTTCTATCTCTTTCTTAAATTAACTTGTGTTGAAATGTGAAAAACACAATCATGCCGAAAATAGCCGAAAGAATGCAGTAGAACTAAGCAGTAATTTATCATAATGTCAAAAAGTTAAATATTTTTTTATGTACAATTTAAATCGAAGACATATAAAAAAAATATTAAGCAAATCCATGAAATTTTTTTTCTTATTCTCACAGTAAAATTTTTGTAATATAAACTGTTTGAAAAATATTGCAAATTAAATGTTTACGCTGATTTTTAATAAACTAATATATTCACACTGAGTTTAGTCACAGCTGTTTGTAAACATAAATAAGCTACTACAAACGTTTTTGTAATTAACTGCCTTTTCCATAGTTGAATGATGCTTAATATTCCGAAATAATTCTCGCAGAAATACAGTCTAATGAGTTTTGTTACAGCAAACGTATATTAGAAATTTGGATGAGAAACAAAGGGGAGGTTTATATTTGTTCTTCTTGTGAAAGCTTTACAAATTGGGGTGGTTTGATTGCCGCGGTGAATACCATTTCACGAATTACGGTTACGTTTCTCGTGGTTTTTACATTTTAATGTTTCGTTGCGTGCTTGTTAGAGCCGACATAGAATAACGAGGGGCGTTTTTAGGTCTGGATAAATTCGGAACAGCTGCAGTTGCTAGTCAGTTTGCTGGTTTTACACGAAAGAATCTGCGACCGTTTATACTCGGTGTACGCAAATCTCTTAAATGTGATTTCTACAAGTACTTGTTATCTGAAAAATGATTATTTTATACATAATTATTTTTCATTCATCTATTTGCTTTATCTTTCTTTCGACTTTTTTCTGCCTCTAGTTTCTGTTTGTTTTGTCAATATTGAGTAAAAAGACCTTCTAATTGATTTATTGTTATTTCAAAATGATCAATTTTTCATAGAAATTTTATAGGTTTATAACAACTTTATTTATTTACTATAAAAAAAACTTGCGTTCTTTATTATGTTACAAGTTTTTTTCCCTATTTCTTACACTTCAATTATTCTGATACGTGACAAGTTTTATTAATAGTTTTCGCGCGATATAATTATTATCGTTATGCTTCATTTTTCTTACAATTTATCAGTTTCATTTGCATGAAAACTTGGACTTTTATGACTATAGTCTTGATTGCTCTATATAGATAATAGTAATGAATTGAAACCGCGTTAAGTAATTATCTTCAAACGGTATACAATTTCTAACATAAAAAATAGTTATTCTGTACCAATATTACATAAAAAAATATATATATATAAGATACTATATGAAACTATTACTATTACAACAAGAACTCATGGATCCTATTAAATAAATATGATTATGCACTTACGATTATAAATATCAAAATCAATTACATATACTATTAATGTTAATTGTCTTATCACTGCTCATATTTTGAAAGTACCTGAATATAGTTATTTTCAATTTGTTCAGGAAGATATAAATTAGAAATTGAACTATTTCTATTTATGTTTGCAATCAGATATGAGATAGTTCCACGTGAAAAAAATAAAGTTTTCTCACTTTTTTGAAAACATTGAGTTTGAAAACTTGTGCTCGCTTAGACTTGTTTTCTCAAAAGTGAAGTCTTAAACGAAAAAGTTTCATTCGAAATTTCCAACGTTTTTACACAAGAAGTTACCTTTCTTACACAATTGCAGAAACGTCATATTCGTGAAAAATTCATTGTCGTAAATATCTCGTATTTATTGTTTACTGTACACTTTTAACAAGAAATAATGAACATACTTGGCATGTATAGTTGAATTATTTTTATATTTCCAGTTACGATAAGAGAAATGGAGATTTAAAATAAACATTTGAAACACTGTTTACAATCGTGATAAAAAAAATGATGAAAAAAATGAAAAGAACATTCGACGAACTTAATATAATTTGAGTGCTGAAACTTTAAAATCAATTGTCAGATTTTGTTGAGGAATTGTTATTATCCTTAAAGTTGTTTTCAAATTAGTTTAAATTAGTTTTAATGTTAGTTTAATTCATAAGAGGATCAGAGACGATTTTGTATAGGCTCTATATACTTATATAATACATATATACCTAATTTTTTTATTAAAAAGAGAAATTAAATTTTAAATAATAAAAAGTTAAAATTTAT